TGCATCCCTTTGGCAGACCGTGCATCGCGGAGGAGAGTGGCTGGCAGTTCATTCCATGATCCAGGCTTCAATGAGGTACTCCGGGAAAGAGCGCAGCGCAACATTGCACGATCTGGCAGGTAGGGCTGTCTGGAGTTGAAGCTCGTGCGCAAGGTTGGCTTCCGAGCGGCGACGTGTGGCAGGCGCGATGGCGGGTGCGATGGCTCTGGCTGGGCGTGTCGCTGCAAGAGCTGGTGGGCTTGTGATGTAATGGAGCTTGTACAGAGTTGTGAGGCCGGCCACACGGCGCCGCGCGCAGGGACAGAGTGTATGAAAATGTAACTTACTTTCCTGTATAAGATACTACAGTACAACTAGTAGGTGCAGTAAGTACAGTGTACAGTGTAGTGGCCTCGGGGTGTGCATTTTGTGCGTCTTATAATAACGCGTTCCAGACAAGACCTAGTGTTATCTGGCCCATGGTTGACTTTCGAAGCTTGAACAAGTTGTTTCGATCGCTGCCAAACTCTCTTGACACTGAGGTGATACAACATGTCGACGTGCAAGCAACTAGATATTAACGGGTGTGGTTCGGATCAACGGCTGGTTGTGTCTGCTGCTGAGCTACTTTTTGAAACAAGGAGACAAGCACATGAATGTTTGAACACGACGAAGAAAAGAGCTGTGGAGTCAGTATCGCAATAACAGATACATGTGCAGTACGCTGTACATGTACTTGCCAGATCAAGTCCAATACTTTGAGCAGCACGGATAGCTTGCACCAGCACCATCGATGCGTTGTCCAGGGCGTCATTTGCAGGAACCGTTACCTAGAGTACGTTAACACGAGCTAGCGAACGCAAAGCGTAGATAATCAGTAACTGACGCAGCTTGGCAGTCGCGGATGGCAAACCATTAACCATGCCAGTTAAACCAGGACCCGATTCTGAGTTGAGTGACGGAGGCGGTTGGCAAGTAGTTTTAACTAAAAAGCAAAAAAAGCAAAAACGCAAGGCGGGTAGAGATGAGTCACTGGTGCAACCAATGGCGGCTGCTCGAGGTGCCCCATCTCAGGCCCGTGATGAGGCGAGTGGAGGTGACGAGTACCTTGAAGTGCCGTTGGACAACCTCAGCAGATCCAATACCCATTCGTTTCGAAATCATTCAGTGATTGGACACTACTCCCAGGTTCGTAATGGTGATGTGTTCATGGATAAGCGCGAAGCTTGTCGCTGCAAGACGGTTCCCGACGACCGCTTAACATCGCCACGCTGGGATTTGAACAGAGGTTTTGAAGAGTTCGAATGGAGAGACAGACGCAACACGAAAGCTGATGGCCTCAAGCCTGTTCTGAAATGGATCTTGCACAAGCTGGATAACCCTGGTGAAGACGCAATGAAACGGTACCCGAGGCCGAGTGCAGAGGAAGTCACCTTCGTCGTCAAACGAGCTGTGATGACTAGAATCCTAACTGCACCCTACCCAACACGGGAGTCGACCGGTGGGTGGCGTCTTAGAGTGTGTCGCTTCCAGAATACCATCTATCTGTGTAATGATAAAACATTTGGTCGCTGGAGAGTTTGGACACCAGCACAAAAGGCCAAGATCTACAGGGGCTCGGGCTTTGAAAGGTACTTGACATCTCACATTCAGCCAGTGGATCCCAGCAGCTACAAGCACAGTGAAGCTACCTCTCACTGGAGATTTGGTGCGTCCATGGAGCTATGAAGCCGAGACCTCTGGTCGGCGGAGCTTAATGGGCCCCACCACCACACTCCATCATTCACCCCAGTGTCTGGAGATATGTGGATTTTGTAGAAAAAAAATAGAAAAAAAAAGCTGCAGGATATGTAACTGTCGTGTTAACTCAGCTAGTAACAGAGCAGTCAGAGGAGAGCAAGGGGACAAAGCCGAGTGCTTCAAAGGCTCGCTTGTTCGTACTGGCTGCAGAAGTGGATGGTGAATTGGATGGACACGAATCACCACCTAGAAACTATGTGGAGTTGAAAACTTGCAACGACGAGAATCAGCTAGGATCGAAGAAGTACTCGCGGTGGTTTCTTGCCGACAAACTGCTGAGTACATGGGCGCAGTGCTATACTGTCGGTATTCCTAGAATCGTGTTTGGATTTCACGATGACAAAGGTATCCTGACAAGTACCAACACTTTCGAGACGCACGAACTGCCTGGCATGTGCAAAGGCGTTTGGTCTGAAGCGACGTGCCTGAACTTCGCAGACGACTTCACCAAGTGGCTTGAGAAATGGATCAAGGAGACAGATCCTCTGCGAGAGATGTACGAAGTTACATTCGAGCCAAAATTCTCTAGGATGCGGCTTTGCAGAGTTGAGATAAACAACGATCACCCGTCGATTCTCACTCAAGATTTCGTGGCTGGGATGATGAAGCAGCAGGTGGACTCTACAAGAGAGAGAGAGTGAGTGAGAGAGAGAGTGAGTGAGCGAGTGAGTGAGTGAGAGAGAGAGAGAGAGTGAGTGGGAGAGAGAGAGAGAGAATGAATGAATGAATGCAGCGGTTGGCTGAGCTCGCCATGTTTCGTGAACAGTGAACTAATGCCGGACACAATTCGACCTTCCGAATCTGACACAACTGCCTTAAGCGTACGGTTATTCAAACTTTTTTCCCGTCTGGTCAGATCGACCAATTGTTGCCAGAGCATACCAGTATGATTTTTCATGCACGAACTGCAATGTATGTACTTGTACGTGTATGTCTACCTGACCTGGCCTGGCATGCTAAGTCGCCCAACGTCACTGTTTCAGCACCGTTATGCATTTCTACTGCAATTTCTCCTTGAAATCGTCTTCTCATTTTCCAGAAATCCAGTACTGTATCTTGCTAGATCTACTTTGTATCTCTGCCCTCTCACTCTCTGTGCTTCTTTAGTGATTTGGAGTCTTTATTAACCAATCAATCTGAATATCTTCCATGTCAATGATATAGTGATATAGTTATTGTGCCAAATCTTCTCCTAAGTTGTCATTAAGAACAAGATGGATCCCCCCTGGACGCCACCCTGCTTACGCGCCTGGAGCCACTGTGGTGTTGGAGGGGGCCGTGGTGTTAGAGGGAGCTGTGGTGTGGAAGGGAGCTGTGGTGTTGAAGGGAGCTGTGGTGTGGAAGGGAGCTGTGGTGTTGAAGGGAGCTGTGGTGTGGAAGGGAGCTGTGGTATTGAAGGGAGCTGTGGTGTTGAAGGGAGCTGTGGTGTTGAAGGGAGCTGTGGTGTTGAAGGGAGCTGTGGTGTTGAAGGGAGCTGTTTTGTTGAAGGGAGCTGTGGTGTTGAAGGGAGCTGTGGTGTTGAAGGGAGCTGTGGTGTGGAAGGGGGCTGTGGTGTTGAAGGGAACTGTGGTGTGGAAGGGAGCTGTGGTGTGGAAGGGAGCTGTGGTGTTGAAGGGAGCTGTGGTGTTGAAGGGAGCTGTGGTGTTGAAGGGAGCTGTGGTGTTGAAGGGAGCTGTGTTGCGCTGATTCAAATACACTGTAGGGCGATCCGCAGACAGATTCAGGCTGTCTCGGCATGTCATAATAATTATTAAGATTTTTTCACTATTGAACACTCGCTGCATGATGAACTAAAATGAGGAGGAGAACTCGACACAATGGTACATATCCAGCAGGACGGAGTGGGTGGGACCTGTGAAGCTCAGCCGACCAAGGGTCTCGGCATCACAGCTGCACATGTGCACCAAAGGAAACAAAATGGGGAGTGGAAGGGCGGGGAGCACGAGTGCAAGAACTCTAAGGGTAGGGAAAGAGAGGAGGGAGGGGAGGAAACCAGGAAACTTGTTAGTTTGCGAGTTATTCCAAGATATGAGTGCAAACAAGTACGCAAACAAGTACAACTATAGCCGTATCAGGGATCATGATGCTGAGGCGAAAGTAGAGGCTGATTGCCGTGCAGTTTTGACGAAAGATTAGAGTGAGAATGGAGGAGAGTTAGAGAGAGATAAAGACAAATGGATTGGGAGTTTGATGAGAAGGGAGTGCTCCGAGAACATGAACAGGGTCGTACTGGCAGTAGCCTAGGGGGCGATGTCCGTGGCCAATGACCAACCCGACCGTTTCAGGTAGCGGTAGGTCAGAACCTTGAACTGCTGCATCCCTTTGGCAGACGGTGCATCGCGGAGGAGAGTGGCTGACAGTTCATTTCAGGCTTCGATGAGGTACTCCGGGAAAGAGCGCAGCGCAACATTGCACGATCTGGCAGGTAGGGCTGTCTGGAGTTGAAGCTCGTGCGCAAGGTTGGCTGCCGAGCGGCGACATGTGGCAGGCGCGATGGCGGGTGCGATGGCTCTGGCTGGACGTGTCGCTGAAAGAGCTGGTGGGCTTGTAATGTAATGGAGCTTGTACAGAGTTGTGAGGCCGGCCACACGGCGCCGCAGAGACAGAGTGTATGAAAATGTAACTTACTTACCTGTATAAAGCCTAAAGGTACTACAGTACAACTAGTACATGCAGTAAGTGCAGTGTACAGTGTAGTGGCCTCAGGGTGTGCATGTTGTGCGTCTTATCATAACGCGTTCCAGACATGACAAGACTTAGTGTTATCAGGCCATGGTCGACTTTGGAAGCTTGAACAAGTGGTTTCGATCGCTGCCAAACTCTCTTGACACGGAGACAATACAACATGTCCACGTTTCGACGCAGTGCATGCAACTAGATATGACGGGTGTGGTTTGGATCAACGGCTGGTTGTGTCTGCTGCCGAGCTGCTTTGTGACACAAGGAGACAAGCACATTAATGTTTGAGCACGACGAAGAAAAGAGCTGTGGAGTCAGTATCGCAATAACAGATACATGTGCGGTACGCTGTACAATCATGTACATGCTAGATCAAGTCCAATACTTTGAGCAGCACGGATAGCTTTCTCCAGCACCATCAATGCGTTGTCCAGGTCGTCATTTGCAGAAACCGTTACCAAGAGTACGTTCTCCCGAGCTAGCAAACGCTAAGCGTAGATAATCAGTAACTGACGCAGCTTGGCAGTCGCGGAGGGCAAACAATGGCCGCTGAAGCCGGTTGGCAAACGCTAAAATCGAGAAAATCCAAAGATTTGTCAGTTCTGGCGTGCCTTGAAGTTGCAGTGCCGCTACCCGCCGTCAAGAGATACGATGGGCATTCGTTTGGAACCCGTTCAGTGCTTGGACACTACTCTCAAGATGATGATTGTGCTGTGCACATGGACGATCGAGAGGCTTGCGAGATGGCTTATAAAGACTGCCGCGAGTTCGAAAAACTAAAAGACAAGGATTTGAAGGGAGATCTTACAGAGTTTAAATGGAGAGTCGAAGAGACGGAAGCTGATGGTCTCAAGCCCCTACTGAAATGGATCTTGCACAAGATGCGCAGTGAAGATGTAGAAGTGAAAAAGTACATGAGGCGGAGGGCAGGAGAAGTCACCTTCGTCTTCAAACGATCAGTGATGACTAGAATCCTCAATGCACCATACGACCAACACTCGGAGTTGGACAAGTGGAAGCTTAAAGTGTGCCGCTTCCAGAACATCATATATGTGTGCAATGACAGAGAGGAAGGCTGGGAAGATTATTCCGACGATTATAAAGAACGTCGATACTGGGCAGCTAAATTTGAATCACTAATGACACGCCCCATTAACAAGGATGGAAAGAAACTCAACGATTGTGCGGGATACGCTATTGTTGTTGGAACTCAGATCAAGATTGACAAGAAGACCAAGAGCGACTCCAAGGACCCCCCCAAGATATCCTTCATACTTTCCGCAGAAGTAGACGCTGAACAGAATGGAGCACATACAAAAAATGCAACAGGCGGATTACCACCAGCTACAAGTGACTGTATCGAGCTGAAAACTGCCTATGTGGATCTTAAGGGTGAGAGGGAGAAGAACTTTCGTAGCCACACACTGCGGAAGACATGGTCGCAGTGCTGGAGCGTTGGTACACCAAGTATTGTGTATGGATTTCTCAACGAGAAAGGTATTCTGCAAGAAACCAAGACTTTCAGGACGGACGATCTGCCTAAACTGCCCCTCAAACACTGGTCTGATGCGGGGTGCCTTAACTTTGTAGACGACTTCACCATGTGGCTTGTTGAAGAGGTCAAGGAGGAGCTGCGAGAGTACACAGTCACATATGAGCCAAGAGGCTGCGAGAAAGAGACGCCTAGGACCAGCGGTAAGATGCTGCTTCGCACAGTTGGCAAAATCCCGTCGATTCTCACGCGAGAGTTTGTGAAGGAGATGGAGCGTTATCGTGCACGCTCATGATCCCATTCATCGTGCCATGATAGCACACACTGGTGCTAGTGAACTGACTCTCCATCATTGGCCATGGCTCTCCTCTATGCTACCATCTCTTCAATACATAAACCTGAGCCCTACTTTCCGCTGTGTATGTCTTGTGTACTGCGCTCTGTTCATCACAGGCATTGAGCACTATAGCAGGTTAAGGCGCACTGCCTCTATTGATCCTGTGTCGTCTTAGTTTTCTGTAGTCGGTCTTTTCATTCTCTCTGTTTTGTACATTTATTTCACGCGAATGTTGTCTCCCCACTTTTCTTCCATTTATTTTCTCGCACTGAGCCGTGTGTCGTCTACTGCGTTCGTGTACCGGTATGTGCTTACTTCACCCATTAATCGCTATGCTCGCAACGTAATTCTTCTTTTAAAAGATTGTGTTGCTCTTATATTTCTCGCTTTATACGTATCTATGTAGTTGTCCATTTGCCATTGTATCCATTAGTGCACCGAACACTTCCGGAGGAGTGTTTTTACGACTGCACTGGTTCACAAAATTTCAAAGCGCCCGGAGTGGTTGCAAGAGGCCCGCCGCCAGTGACTCCCGGCTAGGCACCGGCGGATTATGCCGGCATAATTATTGGCATAATTTGGTGGTTGAAAATTTGGAGCATAATTTGGCATCCTCTCGGAGGTAGGAGCATAACTGCATGACTGTGCCACAGTTCTAGTATGTAGGCTACACAATTGTGTACAATGCACCTGATCAGTGCTGGTGGTCTGCACTGTAAAGGGTTCGGAGGTCATGCAGATAGTGTTTTCAATGAAAAGCAGGGTAGAAATCATGGCAATACATTATTGTATGTTCGAACTCGTCTTTCTCAAAGTTCGTCCTCACACTGATACAGTACATGTAGCAGAAGATGCGAGTGAGTCAGCCTTTTATCAGATATACTGGGGCGGACGAGATAGTGACGGGTAGTCCGCAAAACCCCACGTACATGTGTCGTATCCATACGATTGGCACGTGCCTTTTAGGCCTCTACGGGACAAGTATGCCATATTTAGTTGTTTTATTATTTATCTATCTCCCGTAAACGGGTTCATAATCGTCTTTATTTTATATTTCCCCACATGGCTCCCGCTCTTTATGCAACAGTTCGTACGCATATTTATTACGGTGATACGCTATTGCATGCGGGACCAGCAATCTCGTGGCCATGGATTTCCATGGCCACAACTAGATCATATTGCCTTCTCCTTGCTTTTCTCTCTCTCTCTTGCTTTCCACCTTCAGGCGGAAGTTTCGGCTTCCGTCTCTCTTGCCTTGTGCTTTCAAGATCGGCTCTTGAACTAAGTATCAGTTAGCTCCTTTCAAGATGTGAGTCAACCTGAGCTGAACGCTGGTGTGAGTGTAAGGGGGCGTTCGTTTTTGATCTACAGGTTTGGGTAGAAACTACTTCTTTCGGTAGAGGTGTTCGTTTTTTGAAAAAAAATTCTACTCAAAAGGGTAGATTCTACTTTCCTCTACCGGCTCTACCGGGAAAAAGCTGGTAGAATCCGGTAGAAGTTGGTAGAGCTACGGGATTTCCAGCAAGATCAAGGATTTGTACACAACTCCATAAAAAAAAGAAACATTTCACGTACACATCGTGTAAACTACTAGATCTGGTAGAACAGCGTTCGTACACTTGCCTCTACCATCTACCTCTATCGGTAGAGTGACTCTACTCTACTCTACCAGGTAGCTAAAAACGAACGCAGTCAACGTGTCTGTATATGCCTGAGTGTGTGTGTGAGAATATGTCTAGGTATGTGTGCGTGCGTGCGTAAGAGTAATTCTGTTGGTGGACTCTCTCCAAGTGGCCACCACTGCACGGCCTGGTAATGTGAAGGTTTATTAGTAAGTTAGTTCATGTCGACGACCGCAGCCTTGGGGTCTAACCCCGGGCCGTCCGGATACGACACATGTACATGTACAATGTAGATCTACATTATGCATGTTACGACTGAGTCATGACCTCTGGATTGTAGCAGCTACGGCTGTGCAGGCCATGGGTATTGCTCTAATAATTAAAAATATTGAGGTACAGTAGATGTTTGGTCATGATGGAAGGAGAGGTGGAGCTACGGGAGAGATGAGCTGATTATTCGCAGGGTGAGGGTGATATCGGTTGGACGAGTATGACGATTACGAAGACAATTGAACATGATCATTTTCAAAGGTAACTCAAACTAATTTGGCAATGAAAAAATCCTTTTACAAAAGAAGTGAACTAATGAAAAGAAGAAGTAATATTTTCTCTTTTTCATGTTGATCTCTAGCATGCATGGACACCTTGGTATGGGGATACTCATGTAACATTGTGCTGTACTTATGCCCACTTACAAGTACGAAAAAGGCACAATTTTCCGAAATTTGAGGCTCCATAAGTACAACAAAGTGAATATGTATCCCAGCATGCCAAAGCATAATAATATTATTATTATTATTATGTATTCATATTTTACTAGGGCAGTCCCCACAGACCTATGGTCTTCTTACAGGGTGCCCTAGCCACATGAAGATAGCGGAGCGAAATGCAGCAGGTAGGGATATGGTGCGAATCGCGGCAGGGAGGGAGTTCCATCGGTCAGCTCCAAGATAAGATACAGAGTGATAGCGAAAATACAATCTGGCATGGGGCAGTACCAGGCCGAGCGATTCCTGAGAACATATGAGGATTTTGCGAGCATAACGCGAGAATCCATGAAAGCATAATTCCATTATTTCGCGAGCATAATCCGCCGGAGCCTACTGGAGAAGAAATCAGAAAAATGCAGGTGTAAAATAAAGAGTCATACTCGTACTGTGCAGCTGAATTAGGCCTCGACCAAATGTGCTTGCGCTTATTTCCGCATATTTTGTGAGACAGTTCATACTATGGCATATTGAGCGACAAAGGGAATATTGGAATGAAGCCAGCATAATATTCTGAAGATAATGAGAAACGTGGCGTACTGTCCGCAAACTAGGCTCCCTCCTGGGTGACGCCGAAGATGCTGCTCGGAGGCGTCAACTGGCCGCCGCCGCCTTCAACTCACTCCTCAAGATCTGGACCCGGAGGCGCCAGATCAGTGAAGGTCTTCGGCTGAGGCTCTACAACGCCTACGTCATCCCAGTCCTTACCTACAACTGCGGCACTTGGGGCCTATCGATGTCGGAGCTCGCGCGAATGGATTCGTTCCACAGGACCCAGCTAAGGAGCATCATCGACATGCGGTACCCTAAACGCAATGACACTCTGTATAAGCGCTGCGGAGCTGTCCCCATCAGCGAGATGATCACAAGGCAGCGCTACAGTCTCGCTGGCCATATCTTTCGTTTGGCCCCAACTGCTCCTCCACAGTTGGCAGTGGATATGTATCTTCGCCTGGCCAACGACGAGGGCACTGAACGCTTCAGGGGTCGACCTCGGACGACTTTGGTAACGGTCTTGCAGACGGAACTGTTATCATGGCATGGACTTACCCTCCACCAGCCGCTAGATGTTGACGCAGTCCGCACAATGGCAGCGGACCGACAGGCATGGCGTGGAGCCCGCCCCACCTAACAGGACTGACCAGACATGTTGTATGCATATTCTATTTTATTTTATACTTTGGATGAAGTTCTCCATTAGTCATATTTGTGTTGTTGCTAACGGCTTTTGTTGACGTCACTTCTGTCATTTCATTGTATCGTATTACTCTTCAGACATCAATCCTGAATGGCATAAGCGAAAGTGGCACCCCCGCCACCTACGCGGACATGCTTTTTAAAATAAATAATAATATAAGATAATGAGGACAAAACATTCATATTATGGACAAAATGCGTTCAGAAATGCCTTTGATGGATGAATTTGGAATGGTTGAGGCGTTTGCTACATTTCCACATGGATGAACACTATCGCTACGGTTGCTGGGGACACACTCCAGCCATACTATTCCGCGTGTGTTTTGATTTGCACCATAAGCATGATAGCCGTTAAGCCAACGAATATTCCAAGTTAACAATTGGTTCTCCGAAACACGGAATACCCGGAACTCATTCAGTCTCCCACGAGCTGCCTCCACCCTATTCACTAGATCCCCGATCTTTGCTGGCTACGTGTTTTGGGCAACATTACCAACGCAGGCCAAGACCAGCACGTCGATGGATAACTTTGTTGCTAAAATCATTGCTCAAGTGTAGGTTTCATGTATTTGCATGACATCCTGCTGGTTTGTCTCCTCCTTTGCCTTCTTTGCCCTTTATTTGTATTCTTTTATCTGTTTTACTGCTGTGGTTGGCTTTCATCCTTGTCTCAGTTTTACTGGCCGTCATCATGATGTGCCATGAGGTAATGATATACAAAAAAATACAAATGCAAATTCCATTGTTGTCATGGTATGAGTGTGCTCACTATATTTCTTTCGATATTAGGTTTCTTGTCTCCGTGCCAACATTTTCACTTTTTTACTTTCACTCTGTGAATAATGCCTTATCCCAAACAGCAGATATTAGGCAAATTCGTGAGAGGCGATTACGGGTCGAGATCCCTTCCATTTGCGGAAAGCCTGAAAACACGTGATCCGAAGTTATTTTGCCACTCTACAGCCTTCGCTTGTGCTGGCTTCAGGACATGGAAGGTCTTTTGCATGCCGAGCCCGTCCACCCTGTTTATCTCAATACAGCATTGCACATACGTGTCATGCTCATCATCAGGCACCACCAGTATCTGTAACCAGGTAGACTGGAGCTTCTCGTCGTAGTGTTTCCAGCTGAGGATACTCTCTTTGGATCTTCGCCTTGACGGAGTGACGATATACCGGGTTACATCACTACTAGTCTGAGCAGTCAGCTTTCCAGTCGAGTATCCTAGCACAGCGTCGACGCTCCGGCCAATTCCACTTACTTGATACACGGAGTCAGCCGGGAGAACGACGATGAGGCGATGCTTCTCCTCACGGCTAACCTCACTGCTTCCCTCTCTGTGTCTCACTATCTCTCTCCCCATTTCTCTCTCTCTATCTCCCTCTCGCTCGCTCTCTCTCTCTCTCTCTCTCTCTCTCTCTCTCTCTCTCTCTCTCTCTCTCTCTCCCCATAGCTCTCTCCCCGTAGCTCTCTCCCCTTTGAATTTCGCTTCCATAGAATTGGGCACCATTGCCCGCTTGGCCTTGCGAAGTAAAATAAAAATCAACAACAACAACAACAACAACGACAGCGCGCTAGCAAGGTACGCATCGAACAAGGGCATAGCTTCCTAAGCTGCTCGCTGGTTTGTTTTTTTGTTTGTTACTTTATTTGAATTCACTAAAACCAAACGGACAGAGCTGTCCAGTGACAAGGGAGCGAATGATGAGCGTCATAATCACTATGCATTAAAACATCTCAGGGCAAAATGAGACAGACAATAAGGGGGGTTTGCACAACACTAGTACATAAAGGGAAGTACGAGAACAAAGGCGAGGCAGAAGACGAAGCAAGAAAGCAATCAAGGCCAGAGATGTTTTGTCCACCGAAAACAGAGAGGGAGCGAGAGAGAGAGAGAGAGAGAGAGAGAGAGAGAGAGAGAGAGAGAGAGAGAGAGAGAGAGAGAGAGAGAGAGAGAGAGAGAGAGAGAGAGAGAGAGAGAGAGAGAGAGAGAGAGAGAGAGAGAGAGAGAGAGAGAGAGAGAGAGAGAGAGAGAGAGAGAGAGAGAGACAGAGAGAGAGACAGAGAGACAGAGAGAGAGAGAGACAGAGAGAGAGAGAGACAGAGAGAGAGAGACAGAGAGAGAGAGAGAAAGAGAGAGAGAACGAGAGAGAGAGAGAGAGAGAGAGAGAGAGAGAGAGAGAGAGAGAGAGAGAGAGAGAGAGAGAGAGAGAGAGAGAGAGAGAGAGAGAGAGACTAACAAATGAGGGCTGAGACCTCTACAACAGGGTTTTACGTCTGAAAACAACCACACGAATTAACAAGCAGGTTGTTAGAGAAACAGGGAGAGAGACGGGCAGGCAGGCCAATAGACAGGCATATAATGAAAATATGGCGATAGTTATCCGTCTGACCTCAAAGGTTCATGCTGTGTGGAACAGCAGCAGTGCGAAATTGGGCCGGGTGTGGTATGGCCCGTTCCTCGCTGGGCAACGCATTCCAGAGCCTAGCCCCTTGGAACGCGAGACGACCCTTACCCAGCTCAGTGCGGGTTGGCGGTGGTCTTAGACCCAAAGATAATTGGAGCCGAGTAGGAGCGCCACTGGTTGGTAGCAACAGCACTTGCAGTGTAGGGCTAGCACGGGAGTAGCGGCAGCGCCAAACCAGGAAGATGAGCTTCTGGATGAAGATCTCCCGGACAGTCCAACCCGGCGCCTACTGTGTCACACGGTAGGCGCCGGGTTGGACTAGCAGGTTTCTGGCAGAGGTGCGCGGCGAGCATCCGTACACATCTCGAGCCGCACGATTCTGCAGAACTTGGAGACGGTCCAGATGCTTACCCACCAGCGATGCTGAGAAGGCATTGGAGCCATACGAGAAATCGGGCATGATCACAGACTTGAAGTATTGGATGCGGCTTTGCATGGTATTGACAGGTGGGCAGTGCTGTCATTTCATCAGGTAACTTCCTCTGCCAGTCCCAGATAGCACGTTCCACGCGTAGTCGTTGTGCGGGCACATCTACAAGGCCGAGTTCAGTTTTCAAGCAAAGGCACACAACCAGTTACCTTACCCAGTTCCTTCTCGACCTGTTGCTTTCAATACTCGATATTTGCGTCTAGGTGCCTAAGAGCAGTCTCGTACCTTCTGCGTTGACCATAATTAGTCAGCCTATTGACGAAAAACGTGTGCTGTCGGTGGAGTATCTTTTTTTTTTTTTTTTTTTTTTTTTTACGAGAAACCACGAACCTCGAGAACAGAATACTGCATGGTAGAGGTGGTTGCAGACGCAACTGTGGTGGTGAAAACTGGAGCATCTCCGCCGACCTGAGGTCTCGGCTTCAGCGACACTTCAGAGCACCAAAAACTGGGGAGGAGTAGGCACAGGGGGAGGGGAGGGGGGTACATTTATATAGAGGAAGGAAAAACGGAAAGATGATACATGTGATAGAGGAAGAAAAAAATAAAATAAAAAATAAATAAAATAATAAAAAATAAAAAAAATAAAAAAGGGGGGAGCCAGGGTGCAAGCAGAGAGGGTGTTCAGGGAGTGTTCAGAGGGCATCTGTGGCTGAACGCCAGTCTCGGCTGCGGAGCGACTTGTAGGCGCCTTCCTTGAATGCCTGCATTCCCTTCTGCGTGGGAAGGTTGCGTAGCAGGGCAGATGGGAGACGATTCCAGTCTTGGATCGTGGCATGGGGGAATGATCGGAGAGCACTATTACGGGTTCCGGCGGGCAGTGTCGGTGCTAGTTGGTGCTGGTGCTGGTTCTTTTGCTGGTGGCGAGTGGAGCGCCGGTGTTGGTTTGCAACTGCCCTCGGTGGTGTCATGGTGGTCAGGATTGGGGGACCGTCGATCCAATGCAGCTTGTACAGGAATGTGAGTGCTGCGACTTGACGCCGAACAGTGAGGCTTGGGAGGTATGACCCTGGGCATCTCTGACACGGTAGCTGTTAGACAGATTATTAGATCTTCTTCACATTTTTCAAGGCCTTTGCAGAAATCCTCAGTTCCTTTTTTCTTTTCAAGAATTTTCTTGACAGTTCTGTGTAACTGGCTCCGCGTCTTCTGAGTTTCATGCATGAGAAACCTACGTGCTGACTCGCACCGAACGAATGCCACATACTCCTCATACTTCTCTGGGCTAGTCAGAATCTTTTCAAGGTTCAAGTGACCTTTTCTAGGGCCACTAGTATGGATCCATTCATCGCTTGAGGCATACTTCGTGCCTGCATCTGTACATTCGAGCCATGTAATTTTTTCAGTAGTGCCCATTCTCTTGCCTCCCTTCAGAATTGGGAAGCTACGAACTCAAAACAGCACTCTACAAAATTTAATTGTAGTGTAGACTGTAGATCATTAGATGTACATGACCTGTACATGATTGTGCTGCTAGTTTGACCTTCCGACTGGCATGCGCTAGCTAGGGAGAACTGCGCCGTCTTACATGACACGTGATCGTTGCCCGTGATACGGCCAATAGCCCGACTTCCCGCCACGGGCATAAATTAATGGAGATGTATGTAATCAAGCACGCTCAGGAGGTCATGATGGCTGAATCTTGCCCGAGCCTGCAGCCCAAGGGCCGTAGGCCCGAGGGCTGCAGGCAAGGGCAGGATTCAGCCATCATGACAGACAGAGCGTGCTTGATTTGATTTCTCACATCGCGAAGCAACATATTAGGGAAGGTCAAAGGTCGAAAGGTCGAAAGGTCGAAAAATTATTCCCGAAATGACGTCAAACGGTCCGAACATTCCCGAAATGACGTCAAACGGTCCTGAAACTCCCGAAATGACGTCAAACGATCCTGATGGCCTGATTATGCCCGCGGCGGGAAGATCGCCTATTGGCCATGGCCCCGGCAACGATCACGTGTCATGTAAGAAATGTGAATTAAATTATTTTGTAGAAAAATAATAATAATCAGGCCATCAGGACCGCGTACTGATTGGCGTCATTTTGGGAATGATTCGACCTTTCGACCTTTCTGCCTTTGACCTTTCCTGACCTGGGGCCATGGGGGGTGCGGGGATCCCCGGGAGTGGTCAGTGGTGTCCGGAAGCAACACACCGGACTCCGGTGTGTTGCTTCGTGTTGTAAGAAATCGAATCAAGCACGCTCTGTCTGTCATGATGGCTGAATGTATTTACTTGCCTGGAGCCTGCAACTTTGGGCTGCCGGAAAGTGCAAGTAAACAGCCATCATAACCTCCTGATCCTGAGCGTGCTTGATTACAACATACACGTACATATAGCCCGCTCTTGCTCACAGCCGTCGGGCTGCAGATTGCAGGATCTGGGCAAGATTCAGCCATCGAACGATCACGTCACATTCACGTGTCAACAACAACTGTGTGTCAACAACAACTGTGTGTCAACAACAACTGTGTGTCAACAACAACTGTGTGTCAACAACAACTAACTAACTAACTTGTGTCATGACATGATCATTGTTGGCTGAATCTTGCACAGTGCAGGCCTGGCGAAGATGCAGCCATCAATACGATGCCCATCATCGACATGCAAAAGGAAGGTTCCGGAAGGTCATATAATTACGCATGCGCGTGCAAGTCGTGCTCACGTTCTACTTGAACTTTGACCTGAGACGACAGCTAACTTGTATAGCTACAGTCTACATGTGTACCGGTGCATCACATTGCGAACTCAACTCGTGAACTCGTGAAAGTCAAGGTGGCGTTTGATCAGGAAGAAGAATGCATTAAAAGCCAGTGAAATAGTGAGACTTGCATTTTCTCCATCCAAAAGAGAGATTCCTCTGGAACAGGCCCAATCCATACGAGCCCAGGCCAAAGCCTCGAACATGCAGGTTGCAGAAACTTCGAACGCAGCGGCGAGTAGCAATGAGAAATCGCAACTGGTTATTAGACGCAGAGCTGACAAATCCGACCTGTCTCTGCGTCCCCCAGTTGAGATTGGATGTTTCTCCATGGATGACAAGCGTGCCATATTCATGGACAGACGAGAGGCTCGTCGCTGCGTGGAAGTTCCAGATGGCGGATTGAGATCACTACCGTGGGATTTGAACGAAGGAATTGGTAACTTTCAATGGAGCGACGAGGATGAGTCCAAAGCAGAACGAATCAAGCCGCTGCTGGAATGGATGATGGAGAACGATACCGTTCTGAAGGAGTTTCCGGACACGAATTTCGTCATGAAGCGTGGAGTCCTGCAAGATGTCCTCACCGCACCATATGAGATTGAGGGGAAAGCCAGACGCGCCAAGGAATGGCGTGTTAAAGTGTGCCGATTTAAGAACGTGATTTACCTGTGCAAGGATGTGCAGTTTCCAACGCCGTGGGTCGGCTCTTCTAATTTAAGCGGCCGTGAGAAACAGGCCCTATCCTGGGGTTTTAGATTTGAATCCTACTGCACAGCCTCCTTCAATCCAGAAGCTGAACAGAACAACAGGTGGAATAATACTGCTGGATTTGACACCGTGGTCTACACACAACTGGCTGAGCATTCGTTCATATTGGCTGGGGAGGTGGATGGTGAGCTTGATCGACCAGGCCAGTCACCACCCTCCAACTATGTAGAGATGAAAATCCAGGGAGAACTGCGCAAGCCTTATCACTGGGAAACATTCCATCGACATAAGCTGCTGAAAGCATGGGCCCAGTGCTATTGCACGGGTGTACCAAACGTGTTGGTGGGATTCCGAGATTACGATGGTATTGTTCATAGAGTCAAGAATTACCAAACTGCAGGTCTGCCTGGTCTGTGTGAGGCCTATTGGAGTGATTCTGTGTGCCTGAATTTCGCAAAGGAATTCTTTGACTGGCTGTGGGAATGCATCGAGGAGACTGACCCAATGCAAGTGCAGTATGAAGTCACATTTCAACAAGAGCTCTCCAGGATGTCACTGCGCAGGGTCCAGGAAAGTGACAAGGACCAGGCAATCCTCACCCCAGCGTTTGTGGACGAAATGCTAGCTGTGTAGCATCCATGAAGACATGGATGAGACAGTGATGCTGCCAAACCATCCCTACATTTGTTGATGGCAATGCTACTATGTAGCAATCGCCAGTCCGATGCAATGCGAATACTTGTTCAAGCTGGCATGCCACATTACCAGCCACCATCAGAAGCTCCGATTTTGCGTCTTCAAGTTCTAGTACAGTACAGTCGACCTACCCGTATAACCATATTTGCGTCCGACCAAGAAATATTGTTACAGTCGACCTACCCTTATAACGATAACCTCTATAACGATATTACCCTTATAAAAATATTTTTCTGCCTAACCAAATCACTCCATTGACTTGTGTATACAATGCCTTACCTCTATAACAATATTGCTATAACGATATTACCCCTATAACGATATAAAGTGGGCTGACCAATCGACATTTTCCATTTTATAACAATACTAGCAGCACCCCCGGCCAGCGTTGCCTGGCCGAACGTGGCATGCGGGTGAAGCAAGTTAAGTGTACATAAACAGCACACGTGCTCAGCACGTGGTGGTGGCTACACGATTCGCACGCTTCGCGTGCTCACTGCTAGCTACACTGTTCGCACGCTTCGCGTGCTCAGGGCAGCGCTGCTCCGCAGCATGGCCTGAGCGTGACACACAGACAAACACACGTCACAGGTGCCTCTTCTTTATAAGTAAAGATCTAGCAGGGAATATGTAGAGCCCACTATCCAGGTAGGGCAAGCTTCACTTGATAAGTCGCTGGGACATGACGAAATGCAATGGGGGCACCAGTGGGCACCTTGCTGTGTACATACTGGGCATGTACATACGTTTTTTACGCTAGGAAGAGCGTAAAAAATGAACAAAATCCATGCATTATGAGGTATGTGTATGAAATGAGCCAGTTACCCCTATAACAATATTACCCTTATAACAATATTTCTTGGTTTGACGCAAATATCGTTATAAGGGTAGGTCGACTGTATAAGGGTAATATTGTTATAGGGGTAACTGGTTCATTCATACACATACGTCATAATGCATGAATTTAGTTTATTTTTTACACTCTTCCTAGCGTCAAAAACCTATGTACATGCACTTTATTGACGCAGCAAGGTGCCCACTGGTGCACCCATTGCATTTCGTCATGTCCCAGCGACTTACATGTATCAAGTGAAGCTTGCCCTACCTTGACAGTGGACTCTACATACTCCCTGCTGGATATTGTTAATAAAATGGAAAATGTCGATTGGTCAGCCCATTTTATATTGTTATAGGGGTAATAATATCGCCATAGCGATAATATTATAGAGGTAAGGCATTGTATACAAAAGTCAATGGAGTGATTTGGTTTGGCAGAAAAATATCGTTATAAGGGTAATATCGTTATAGGGGTTATCGTTATAAGGGAAGGTCGACTGTACATGACATTGTATTCTATATCCACCATGCAGCATGAATATCCATCATGCAGCATGAATATCCTGACTATCCTAGTCGATCAAAGAAGTAGATACGTTATGCGGAACCTCTCCGCAATAAAACGTTTTGTGTTGGAAATAAAAATAAAAGTCTGCATCTGACGCCGGCCGGCCAGGCTGACGCGACGTGAGTCACGTGACTCTGAGACATGTCACATGTGAGTCGAATCAGTCGATACCACTAGATATGGCATGTTCTCTATTTCTTTCCTTGGCGCTGATAGGTGGAATTCTCTGCCTGTCTCGTGTCGTCAGGTTGAGCATCTATCCGTTTTTGTTTCGCTCTGTAAGGCCACCCTTTCTTTTTTCGTTGTTTAACGTCCGCGCCCGCGTACCTTTTTGCCTCCGACCGAAAAAAAAACAAGAAAGTAGTAGTACATGTATATCAAGGCGAAGTTGTACATGTAAATACATGATTGTGTAGTTTCACAGTGTGCCGATAATCTTGCCTCCCGGGCATGCCTTTGTCTTGTGTTCTTTTTCTTTTTTTGTTGGCTTTTAAATATCGTACGGTGTGTGTCCTAGTAAAAATCCAGATGTAATGAATTCATGACATGCTAACTCCATATGCTATGTACCTGTTTTGTTGGATTCATCAGGCATGTGCTCCAAATGTCCAATGTACCATCAAAGAGTGTTGTTCTATGCCTGCAAGTGCCGTTAGACCCAGAAATATTGTATATATCACATGCTTTACTGGTCAAAATGTTTGATTGGGGTTTCCAGTTTTTGGAATGGGCTTTTGTTTTAAACAATGACAAAGGGTGGCCTAAAGAGCACTTAGGGTTCCCTGTAACAAGACGGCAACGTCTGTAGCCGCGTAGGGCCTTCCCTATCAAAATAATAAATTCTACTACTACTACTAGTAGACCATGACGGATTATGCTAATATTTTCGTGAAATTATGCTTTTCGCATTGCGGAAAAAATTGCAGAATTATGCTATTTTTATGCTAAAAGTTATCATATTATGCCGCATCATGCTCACATATGCTGCTAATGCATAATGGGTCTGTGCAAAATAACAGGGGAATTTTTTTGTAGAGGGCGTTGTACTGTAATAGCAAAAGTTCAGCCCTCACCATCGTCTACACGGATTTCAAAAGCGTCGACCTCCATTTTGAAAACATGGTGGCTGCCGCGCTACCCGTAGGCGCACGTGCCCACCGCGTGTCTCAGCGCGAGCTTCGAGCTAAAGATCATGTCGCCCACTCATTTTCCTGTGTTTCCCCATTTCTTCGAACTCGCTCAGCTTTTGCTTCAGCTTTTGCTTCGCTCGTGCTTCAGCTCCACGCTGTAGTCTGAGTTTAGTTCTCTTGTCTTCTTCCAGCAGAATACTGCAAACTGTACAGCACGTCGAGCTCCTCCTAGAAGAGTTTCTTTTGCGTCGAGGCAGACTGTCGATCGTTTCAGTCCTATCTTGCCGTCGTCTCATGAGCGCCCCGGAAAGCAACAGTATCTATTTTCTTGTCGTTCCATTTTCTGGCGAACTCATTCACCTACTACTTCTTCCTTTATGAAAGCTTCAGGTGGCTGAGTTCTCCCACTAGCGACAATCATGCCTTGGAAAAGAACAGGATATTCCTAAGGTATATACAGCCAGTGCAGTGATGTCAGTGTACTGCGCGTAGTTTGTTTTGTCGAGAAAGAATCCCTTTCGCACTCGCGCGGGCCGCGAGGGCGCAGCACGGAAACAGGTCTATTGAATTCATTTCTTGGTCGATTTCGACAACCAATACGTCGTTGTTTTTCTTTTTTCACTGGCTATCCTTTCTCCGCTTCCGAATTGCGATGCCGTCCACCTTGAAAGCCTTGAAGTGAAACGAGTGGAGGCCGGTTTCGGAGGTAATTTTCGGCCAAACGGCAATCAAATCGAAAAATTCGAAGCGGACGATCTGTTGGTATCTATCGAAAGAAGACGTTGGCCCATAAACAATCTTTGGAAACTACACCGTATGAACCAAGGAATTACGGTAAGTTTGAGAATTTTGGTACATTAGCTGTACGCTGATTGGTCGATTAGCGCGACCGTTGAGAAGCGGGCCAGTGACGCTTTGTACAGCGTTGGTGAGGGCTGAAGTTCAACGGGTTCAACGCACCGTCCGACCTAGCTACGACCATCACTGATTGTAGTGGACTGGACATGTTACCAAGGGAGTCGTAAACCGACAACTTCCTAGTGCATCTACTTGTACTTGTACTTGTAGAACATGTACAACTGTATGGAATTTGATGCGAACAGGCAGATTATTACAATTTTATGCGATTCGTCTGCAATTTGCCTCGAATTATGCGGTTATTCGATTTTGGTAGGAATTATGCGAAAAATTATGCTAGCATAATCCGTCAAGGCCTAACTACTCCAAGATATTGGAGAAGGTTGTCCACCGGCAGATTACTGAATTCTTCCGTGACCACCCAGAGCTGTCCGCCTTGCCGCTGGAGCAGTTTGCGTACCGTCCAAAGCACAGTTGCGAAGATGCCCTCGCTGTTTCCATAGACAGGTGGACAAGAGCACTGGACAATGGCCAGCGATGCGCGATACTGTTCGCAGATATGAGCAAGGCTTTCGACCGTGTACAGCATCAACAACTGGTCAACGAGCTGGCTGACGTAGGGCTAGGCGGCTCGGTGCTGAAGTGGTTCGCGGACTATCTGTCCTCCAGAAGTCAACAGGTCGTGGTCAATGGGGAGCGTGGTGGGACTGTGCCCTGCACCAGGGGAGTTCCGCAAGGGTCCGTCCTTGGCCCCCTCCTCTTTTGCGTCTACATCCGCAAGGTTCCACAGATTGTTCGGAACAGTATTTCTCAGCTCTATGCCGACGACATCGCCTTTTTCGTCATTGGAACGGACCTCTCTGTCATGCTGCGAAAGCTTCAGGATGACCTTAGCGCTCTGGAGCTCTACCTTGATGACAAAGGACTTCTCATGAACCCTGACAAGACGCAGTTCCTGGTCCTTCGGCGCCCACGCCAACCTGTGCCGCATCTACCAATCCCCCTAGTTTGTAAAGGCAAGCCCCTCACCCCTGCAGCCACCGTGAAGTATCTCGGACTACTCATCGACGAGCATCTCACCTTCCAGCCGCAAGTCGAGAAGGTCTGCGGTGCGGTGTTCGGCAAGATTGCCGCCTTCAGACATGGCCGAAAAAACCTAACACCTGAAGCGAAGAGGACGTTCTATTTATCCATTGTGCAATCGACTCTCGACTATGCCAGTAACGCTTATCTGCACTGTCTCAGCGCCACCCTGTTCAATAAAATCGTGACGGTCAGTCACATAGCAATGAAGAAAGTTTTTGGGTTTGATCGTATGATGTCTACTGAAATTGTTCTCCGCAAATATCATCTCTATTCTTTTGAACAGCGCACAAATCTTAAAGGGGAAGTATACCCTAAAATAAATTTTTCACCAGTTGTAGTCTTCTGGGTGCTGAGTCGAATGGTCTTGGTCCGAGGAAGCTGCGACGCTCCCTTCCTACTTGAATCCCAATCGAACTCGCGCACTTCCACCGAAACTGGGTGACTGCGCCCTACTAGATGGGGATTTGTATACAAAATGTCACTAAAAGCGCCATTTCGTTCTTATAAAAGCACGGATGACCGCGGTTGGCCCATATGTTGTAGTCTTTTGGACGCTGAGTCGACTGGTTTTGGTCCGAAAAGGCTGGGATGCAGCGTTCCTCCTTTATTCCCAATCGAACATGGTTGAACAAGCGGTCACGTGCTCCTGGGTGCCCAAATCACCTGGTCACCGCGCCAGCAGGCGACAACTTTCACACCAAGGTTCAACTCGAGTTCAACTCGAGTGACAGGACTGCACCCAAAAAAGGTCAAACAGGCTAGTAAGTTGTACCCTGCAGGCACGGTGACCAGCTGACTGGTGTACGCAGGAGCACGTGACCGCTTGTTCAACCATGTTCGATTGGGAATAAAGGAGGAACGCTGCATCGCAGCCTTTTCGGACCAAAACCAGTCGACTCAGCGTCCAAAAGACTACAACATATGGGCCAATCGCGGTCATCCGTGCTTTTATAAGAACGAAATGGCGCTTTTAGTGACATTTTGCATACAAATCCCCATCTAGTAGGGCGCAGTCACCCAGTTTCGGTGGAAGTGCGCGAGTTCGATTGGGATTCAAGTAGGAAGGGAGCGTCGCAGCTTCCTCGGACCAAGACCATTCGACTCAGCACCCAGAA